ACACACACACACACATATATATACATATATAAAATTAAATTGATCCATAAAAAGAAAAGCTAAATTGTATTAGCATTTTAAACAAGTTCTACAAGTGAAACAAAAAATGTTTTTGAAACTCTTTCACAAAATAGAAATAAAGGGGAAAATTTATCTGAAACAAAAATGAATGAACTTAATTCTAGTTTAAAACTAGCCCTAAGTCAAGCACTGTGACACACACCTGTTACCCCTGCTATCTGGGAGACTAAGGCAGGAGGATGGGTGTTAAATTCAAGGCCATTCTGTGTAACTTAGCAACATCTTGTCTGGAACTTAGAATGGTTTGGGATATATAGCAGTTGTAGTGTTCTCCTGGGTTCAATGGCCCATATAGGCTGGGGAAAAAAATATCCTGGCACTACAGTAGTTTGTAGACCTATTCAAGGTAATGGAGTAACAAGGTTTCCTTTATTGGCCAAGTTCATATTTATTTGAGTATCAAATCTTTCATGTCCTTACACATAAAAATATGCACACATACACAAACATTATATCCTTATTAACACACACTTACACACATGTAAACACACAAGCACATACACACCAAAAAAAAAAAACACAAACAAACAACATATTATCACTCAGAGTTTAAAGTTCAATTTGGGAAAAGATAAATAAAACAAGGTTGTAAGCAAAATTATATGCGGGCAAACCCAAGGTAAGACTTTCTTTGACTTAATTGCCAGAGAATACCAAATACAGCTCTACGAACCAGGAAGTACTCTCTTATGTACTTGTTAGACACGCTTACATTTATTTTACAAATGAATAGTAGGAAAGTGAATACAGTAGCTCTATTTTAATAGTCAAAAATTTCACACAATACAGTATTCTCTTAATTGAGGTATGGATATATGAATGCAATATATTGAAACAATCAAATCAATGCATTATGGCAATAAGAACTAATCTCAACTTAGTATTGATGTGAATGAATCTCACAAACAGTATTTTCAAAAATGATGTTACATCTAAAAGAATGAGTATGGAATGATTTTATTTATACAAAGTCTAAAAACAAAGAAACTGCTATATGGCACTTCAAAGTAAGTATTTAGCTTATAAAATGGATTGTGACTGGAAGAAAATAGGGGAGAGATTCTAAGTCACTGGTTAGTTCTATTTTTTTGTTGTTGGCATTAGATACTGTTGAATGGATGTTTTCAGTTTGTGGATACTCATAGTGCTTGGCATTAACATTTGATACCTTTTTTGTATGTATTTTATTTATAATTAAATATATTAAAAATGTTAAGTAAATTTATTTTCTTCTGTTTATAAAAATTATTGTTTGTATACCTGGTTGATTTGGATTACATGACTTTGATTTTACTGAATGGAAAATGAACTTCTATTCTCACTGCATATTAGTTTCCCAAAGCCTTCTGTTGAGATAAGATATCTACTTGTCATTCACAACAAAAGGAGAAAAATGACATAATCATTATCATATTCTAGTTCCTTGTAAACAAAATTTGGATAAATTATTTACAAAGGAATATCTGGGAATTTAGAAAATGGATGCCAAATTGTGCATAAATGCATTGTAAACATTCAATTCACATTATTTAGTTGTTCTCACTACCTATACAAATTCCAAAAGGCATTTGACAATAAGTTATCTAGGTATCCATATCAATAATTGAGTTAAGGACTAAATAAAAAGACATGAATTTCATATTTTTATTTAATCTCTTTTAGTAGCATTTGCCATCACAAGAATTGCTTCCTCTTCTGTTCCCAGGCAATCCCTCAAGCTACCACTCTTCACATAGGCCTGTAAAGCACTCCTGGTGGTGATTATCATCATTCATATTTGTCAAGGGCTGTGAACCATGGGCTGTGAAGCCAGCTCTAAGACAAACATATCTACTAAAGACTCAAAAACGTCAGGCAGATTTGCTTTTACAATTGTTAAGAAAATTATTAAAGTCTATTGCTATTTTTAACATTGTACTGTCCAGTCCCAAAACTGATGCATTCTTGATTATGACTATTTTGGACATTAAATGACAGACTTAACCATTTCATGCCTTACACATTTCCAATATCCAAACTAGACTTGATAAAAGAGTAAAAGTCTAAGAGAGAACAGAAATTTCTATTACATTTTTATGCCTTCCCAAATCAGCTTCTATCTGGATTTTTACAATATTAACTGAAGACTGTGAATAATCACACTTACTTAGTTTAAGAGGCTAATGCTGTGTATACTAAGGTGTTTTTGTGTCAGATAAAAAGGAGACAGAGGTTGGTCCCAGTTGATGGCCAGCAAGGAAAAATTGACTTTAGCCTACCAACAGCAAGAAAACAAATTCTGACAACTAGTGGCTTTCAAAGGACCAAAGCCCAAGTCACATCATGATTTCAGTCCAGTGAGACTTGAACAGAGAATTTTGTTACGCTTTGCCAGATTCCTGACCTACAGAACTGTACTAATATATGAGTGTTTTTTTTCAAACCACTATGCTTGTACCAAATTGCTATGCAGCAATGGAAAACTAATACATCAGAGTAAATGCTTGCACATAAATGAAACGTGTCTTCTATCCTATTTGATACAGTAAATAAGCATTAAGTAGTATTAATAGATTGAAAATATTATATAAAATAATTGCTTAGAAGACATAAAATTAAAAGGGTTATTACTTTGCAATTAATTCTTTGCTTCACAATCCATATAGAGTCGTAGAAAAATTTTAATGATGAAAGAGTGAGTTGTTGTATACCCCCACCCAGTTTCCCTTAATGTCTTACATTAGTATAATACATTTGTCACAACTAAGGAACTGACATCAGTATATTATTATTAATTAAATCCAACTTCATTCAGTTTTCAGTAGTTTTCCCCTAATGTTCTTTCATTGTTCCATGATCTCATCCAGGATACCACATTGAATTCAATCATCAGGTTTCCATAGTCTTTTTGATGACAGTTACTCAAATGTTATTTCATAAAAGTTTACAGGATTAATGATAAGGTAGAATATTGTGTAAAAGGAAAAACTATAAAGAAATTGCAAAGGTAATTGTTTTCCAGGAGTCTGGGGAGAAGGAAGAGAAATCAAGGCACATAAAAGATTTTTAAGGCAGTAAAATTTTAATATGTACTTTCAGCATTTAGATTTCTGCTTAATTCCTTTATTTCTCTTCATTATGGTATCATTCTCAATTCTCCATTACATGTAATGTTTTCATGAGGGTCTTTATAGCTCACTTTTCTGGAAATAACATCCTTATTCCATGTAACCTCATTGCCTTGTTGGGACAGAAGTAAAGAATAATATGTAGTGGTTATGTAGATATTTTCAATACAACTTTTGTGGTGCTGGAAATCAAACCCAGGGCCTACAGCATTCTTCTGAAATGTTTTACCACTGAGTTCCTGTTAGAGTCTGTAAACAAGTCAGGATGGCGCCTGGTATTTTGCCAGGGGGAGTGGTTTGTGAGGTGGCGCCAGTGAGCCATTAAGTGTGGAGATTTATTATTGGTTGACTGCTGTATCTAGTATATGTAAATTAAGATAAGCTGTGTGGAATGTATATATACCGATCCTGTCCTATAATAAACGGCTCCCACTCCTGCTGTATCAATGTACACAAGTTGCTCGTCACCACTCCCCCCACCCCACCCCCACCCCTGGTTATTTTGCTGCAGCCAGACTTTGGTAAGTTACATCTGCAGACCCTAACACAATCTTTTATATGAATAATTATCATCAATAAACACTTATACAGTAAAAACCATATGCTCATTTCAAAGGCACTATGATTTTTAGTTCTCCCAACAACTTATTGTGTTAGTTAGTATTATTATTCCCATTTTACATGTGAGCGAATTGAGGCAGCAAAAGATTAAGTAATTTGCCCAAGGTAAAATGACTATATGAAAGTGTCAAGGAGATTGGCCCAGGATTCTTCGCTAAGTCATTACATGAAACTGTAGCTTATGGCTCTTAATAGTAAATCTAGCTCAGCACAACCTATATGCCTGTTTCAGAGACTTGTGGGACAGGAAACCCTAAGCTACAACACTACAAATTCTCTGAGTATTTATTGCATTTTGTCCCATGTGTAGATTTCTAGTTTCCTCACCCAATAATCAATTATTCTTCTTTGTAGTTCTCCAGAATGTGATGCCATCATATTTTTGATGTTCTATGTATTAATAGGTTCAAGTTTTGCAAAAGAAAATGCATATGCTTTTTTCAATTGAAGTAATTTTACCCAGAGGTACTTACTAAACTTGTTATATCCAAGACAATATATCACTTCCTGATATTTCCACTGAACATAATAATAAAAATGGTAAATACACATAGCAAATAAGTGAGGAAGAGTGTTATAAAACATTTAGATCTGTCATAGAGGATCCTAGAATTAGGGACAAATTATAAAACAAGTACTTATTTAAGCATGTGGCCATCATTAGCATCATTATTTTCTGTTTCTTTCTGAAATGCATATAGCATTCCTCAGGGCTAGAAATTAGTTACTTTTTAAATAGACATCTCTATTGTGCTGTGCATTGTTTTGTATAGCTCTGCAGCCTTAGTGGAATGCTTTGTATTTTTAATCTGGCAGCATATCTATTTTAGTGATAAAGTCAGCTCTAACTGGATGCATGGCACAGCTTGCCCTTCATGGCTGTATGATTCAGGGGTTTGTCTTGCTTTAGTAAAACCCATCTTGCCTGGTGTCTCTAATATACATATCTGTGGAGGCAGCCAGTAATTAATGTTATTGATGATGCTCATTTACTTTGAATCTTTCTACCAAGCTCCTTGATAAAGTAGAATGGGCTTTCACATGAGAACTCTAGAGAAATCACATAATATTCCTTTTCACAATTCATTATTACTTCTTACTACCTCTAGAAAATGTCATTTTCTCTCTTAAACAGATGCTAAGGTCACAGTACACATGCCTTTTAATCACTGTGAGAAAGGGTGATGAATGTTTTCAAGGCAAGCTTTCATGTCCCTGATTGTTAACATTTTTAATTGCTCAATTTATCAGGGAATATAGTAAAAGTTTTTCAGGGAGAAATGAAATTATGATGAAGAAGCCATTTTGAAAGGTATTGTATATTAATTACCAATTGCTAAATAGTATATGTTGAAAGTTTACAAGAGAATGCTCTGATTCTACACTGGAAACACCTTAAGTTGTTGACTGTAGGGTTTGTGTTAAAACAAGACTGCAATAAAATGCAAATCTAACAGGTGTGATCATTTAAAGCAATCTAATTC